ATGCCCGATGACCGAGCGAGAGTCATTAATGTCTGGACGATATCGCTCGAGGCTCGGTTCCGCTTCTGCAGCATTCTTCAGTAAAGTGTTTTTATATCGCTAAATCGGCGATAACGAAATTCGAGATATTATTGGAGATAAATGTATGATAACGAACTAATCACGCCATTCTCTTTGCAAGAGCTTGTGCAATAGAATGTTGCACATGTTCGATGTTGAAATTCGATATCCGCGTCTCACAGATTATTGTGGACTGCAAGAAATGGCTCAAAGCTTACGAATTGAACGCCACCCCACCAAACGGCTTCTCCGCTCTAGCGCTTCTGACGTTCCGCTAGCGAAGCACTGAAACCCAAAACTCGGAAAAGGAGCTCCACAGTCAGTAAACTAGTAGCGAATGATCTTACTTTACTGTTCTTATGCAATGATAATATTGCGGACAAGCACTTTCGCAAACAATGAAACTAACCCGGATCTAAGTCTGCAGGTCTTGTTGAAAGTAAACTTTGTAGAACCAGGCTACATACTCTAAGTTGCCTTGTCTTCTACAGTTTGGTGAAAATTCACAAGCTGCGCCTATCGAACTACTATCAACGTCCTCGAACACTTTCAATATACGACCAATTATAAGTTGCGCAGGTGGACCAACTGATAAAATTCCGTGGGTTCTATATTGTATTGCAAGCCAGTTGTTGACCGTGGTCCCCACTCACTTGTCCAACAGAAACCAATTCCTTGGGAAGTTGTGGAGTTTGCGCTTGGTTCTAGTTGCGTAATTGAGTCAGTTGGCGTCACTCCGCTGTAATGTTGAATATGCACGGTACGAGTATTGAAAGATATGAACTTGGCAAAATACGTATCATGGCTCTCATCAAGGAATGTCTTGGAGTAACTTCTTTACCACGTTGACGACCGTGTGGTATGATGTCATACCACACTCTTTCGGCCACGTGGGACCGTGTGACATGATGTCATGTCACAGTCTTTTTTAAGCTGGTTTTCAAACATTTTAGGTAACTTATTTACGTGATGTATGCGCCATACTTAGGCATTGTTACAAAAGGCGTGGTCCCTGGAAAGAAGCTTCGGTTGATGGGCTATCGAGTTTTTCTAAAAATGTTGAATAATGATCAAATCACAGGAATCGCTAAAATGGCCAAAATCGCATAATCGGAGACCTACCACACAAGAAAGATAACAAATACACACTTCCTGAGAAAAAGGAGTTCTCGTGGGACCGTGTCACACTCGCGCGGTCAAAATAATGCGCGCGGTCCCACACGCCAGACAGCGAAAAATAGCGCGGTCGTCAACGATTAAAATGGTCAGGTCCATATTATACTCTCGAATCAAAGATTCAACGATTAGCTCCCGTACTCGCGATTTCCTTCATGAGCAGAATTGAAGAACCAATAGTGGCACCCTTACCATTGATGTACTGTGGGTATGTACAATGGGTGTGTATCAAGTGGTGCGAATGGAAATTTTAGCACCTAATTAGTGCTGCGTCGCGACTAGGTGCGAAGTGACCTCAAATCTTGGCACTTAATTAGTGCTGGCTGGCGATTGGGCGCCAGCTATCTGTGGGCGAGACGCGCCGTACATGTCCATAATGGTGCAAAGGATTGGAGAACAGCGATTTTGGAAGCGGCAAAGGAGATTTCAGATAAAATGTGGTTATTAATTTATTATTGCTAGTTTTTAGACTTCTGACTCCTGGAACAAAACAAAGTGAATTGATGCTCATATTTATTATTATTACTATTGCTATTATTATTATTATTATTATTATTATTATTATTAGTCACTACACTTTCTAACTAGGTTAGAAAAATCAAGTGAAGGAACACAAAAATAGATATCCAAAATATGTTCAAATCTCATAAGCAACTATATAGACTTATTAGTTATGTATCTAGACATTCTTCTACAATACGAAGCAATTTGATCGGGGGTGGGTCCTTCCTGGTAAACTTCGTCGAATCTAAAAAAAACAGGCATACACGTTTAAAGGGAGATTAAATTAGAAACTATCGAACTTTGTCATTTCTTCCCATATTTGATCTCTTCTCTCCCTGTGCTCTCTCGCCAACGCCCTCGCGTTCTCTGGATCCTAGAAGAAATTCTAAATCTAATTACAAATGATAACATGGGCAAAACTATTTTGCATTTTTGTGATGCTTACATCGTTCAGACGCTTGAGGGCAGCTCGAGCTTCATAAGTGAGCTTTTTAAGGACATCTATCAGAACACTTAGAGGAGGATGATCCACGCCGGTCAATACTCCTAATCGTCTGTAAAGTATTTATCCAATTCTTCCGGATATGGTGACTTGAATTTTCCGTACCTGTGAAAGGCTTCCGCTAAGTTAGTAGTCCTCAACTCCTTTACACCCCACTTGCACCAGATATCTTTGAATGGCCCGTCTAGCCAATTAGCCTTTAGGTAGTCAAGGAAATCTTGACACTTCCTATAAGCGTCGTGATTTCGGGGTACTGGGGGATTCTGCAGGGCTGGGACTTCGGGAAGCAAACCTGGCGGAAGAAATACAACTCCTGCAACACCTACATTATTCATATAGACAGACAAAAAAAAGTTTGCGCTACCTTTGATAGTCTGCCACCATTCTAGGATACGGTCATCCCTTTCATGCCCTTGTATGTGTCTTCGCAACGCCAACGTGTCCCTTTTTCTGTTCCACGCTTGAGCAAGATGGAAGGAACATCCTTCAATCGATGCGTTCGGGAATACTCTTTCCGCAGCATGGATTGCAGCCCTCTCAAAATCGAGAACGATACGGCGAATTGTCGCACCCCGCACATTTTCTTTCACATGCTCAAAAATTTTCTTATATACAGCACGAGTTTTCTTCTCCGAAATGGCGAACAGCAGAGGGACTGCTACTTCGTGACTACACACTCCGTGCACAGAATAGAGTTGGGCATGGCGACCCAAACTTTTGGGATGCAAGGAATGCATGCCGTCGGCAACGATTGCATGTAATCCACTTTTCACGAGCCATCTGAAAGTGCATCATGATCCTGGCGGGGCTCAATAAAACTGTGCAGTAATTGATACCTGGATGGTATTGGTTGAATAATAGATATGAAGCCCTGGGTCTTGTAACTGCAGAAATAATGAGCCATCCCGTAGAGTACGCCATTCCTCCGGCACATTCTCCATAGTCACTGAACGGTGTTGCCACACCCCCACACTCCTTGATAATGAAAGCCTCCGTGAACTATACCCAGATCTTCTAATCGCTGCTCGTATGCCGTCCTCCATGTCATCTGTAGAAAAATAATCTGAAACGAAGCCAGCGAAGTCAAGGTCACGAATCACTACCGTCATCCGCATCGAAACTTTTAGCTATAGGTCAAAGTAGATCTTCACGGGTTTCTTCTCAGCGTATGCGGAGTTCGTTTTGACGTTTTGCAGTTCCTATAAATAGGCAATCTTTTTTGTAGCACTTGCAGCCTACCGAGTAAGAGAATCACCTCATATACGGCCCTATTTCCTCGCTCATCTGTATACTTTGCAGGCAAGCATTCGTGTTTAAGCTTGCACGGGTCTGTGAGGAAATCGTTACCAACCACCTAAACGGTAATAATTTCAACTCGCTCTGAAAAAGCAACCTTTGGATTGGATCCGAACTTGTACCTTGATAGTAATTTCTGGTCCATCCAAGCCTCGTCTCCGACTTTCTTTTCTGCACTGGATGCAGCGGAAGACTTCTTCGTTCTTGTTCGCTCGTATTTTTGAGAACGTATAGGCCTGTTGCGTGCCCGGAATCCTGTAGAGTAGAACGTGCGCTTCCCTTGTTGACTTGCAAGCCTCTCCCCCACGAACCGTTCTGGTTGCAAGGGTGGTCCTCTTTGAACGGTAGCGGGCTGGGGAGACTGGATGGTTGCAGATTCGTGGTGTGAAGCAACAGCGGAAAGTGTAGATGGGTCATGCGGTTGAATGGGGCTTTCGAGTACGAAATATGAAGGCGACGGTGTTGGCAAAACAATCTCAGGTGGGGCAGGACATACGAAGCATGAAGGGGAAGGTGCTGACGGAAGGGTTTGGGGAGGAGGTGGGCCTTCGAAATATGAAAAGGAAGGTGCCGGGATTGGGGCTTGGGGAGGGGCTAAGGTGTCGAGGTAGAAGGGCACGGCGTCAGCAGATTGTGGGTCGAAGTGGGAGAAATAGGTGTCGGAGAACATGGCAGCACAGTGGTCTGGCTATTACAAACAGTCGCTAATGAGTGCTCACTTACCTGCTTAAATGACCGCGAATGACCTCTCAAGAGGGTGTGAAACTTGGCACCATAATGGTGCAAAGGATTGGAGAACAGCGATTTTGGAAGCGGCAAAGGAGATTTCAGATAAAATGTGGTTATTAATTTATTATTGCTAGTTTTTAGACTTCTGACTCCTGGGAACAAAACAAAGTGAATTGATGCTCATATTTATTATTATTACTATTGCTATTATTATTATTATTATTATTATTATTGATTATTATTATTATTGTCACATTATGGACATGTACGGCGCGTCTCGCCCACAGATAGCTGGCGCCAATCGCCAGCCAGCACTAATTAAGTGCCAAAATTTGAGGTCACTTCGCACCTAGTCGCGACGCAGCACTAATTAGGTGCTAAAATTTCCATTCGCACCACTTGATACACACCCAGCCTTAGGAACCCCAAAATGAAGGAAACTTCTACATCGGAGTGAAACTTTGCGTGTAAAGTTGTTTTGCACGTTTTCTATGCACTTGCATCCATTTTCCTGATGGGGTGAAACACAGTAGCGCCAGCCTCAACAAGGGGGCGGATATATGTCTTATAAGCCTGGAAAAGGATAGATTGATTCGTCGAGGAAGTCCCTTGAAGATATAGGACGTTCGCATGAGCGCTACGTTATATCGATTACGTATGTGCATGGAGAGGTCAAGTGTATTGGTGTAGGGAAAACCAAGTTCCCTCACTCCATTTACAGGTAAGATTGTGACTCTATCTAGTCCATATAGACAGAGAGCGAACCCAATTCTCGTACGCGTTGTCTTATGAAGCTGTCAGCGTTTAGTTCAGTAGATGCGAAGGTTAATAGCTCGCTAAAGGCCGTCCATATCCTTAGCTTGAATTATAGCTTCACAAATCTTAAAATCATCAGCAAAAATCTTGGTTGTAACATCAAATAACCATAGCTGGGAATCTCTGCAGTGAAAATATTGAACAGCACCGGTGAGGTCCCCCCCCCTCTGCGACACTCCACTAAGCACTCTCCAACCTCAAATTAAGAGAGCCCTACTCGGACCTGGAAGGCGGTGTCAGAGAGAGAAAATTCGATATCCATCTAACAAGAGCAGGGTGAAAATCGAATATCTCTAGCTTCCAGAGCAGTGTTGTATGCGATACTCCATCAAACGCTGCAAAATCAAAATATATCACATAACATCATATTATCAGATTATTATCAACCAGTTGGCGCCGCACGCGTTGCGCGCACAACACAGTTCTGCGGCGATATTTTGATGGTGCGGCGAAATTTTCAAATTTGGCCGATACACTACGAATATCTGACTTCTCAGCTAAATTCTATCCGCTCCATCATCGACGGCTTTCAACCTCTTCCTTCTTCGTCAACCATTATCCGCTTTTTCCGGTCTCCGGACTGCCTCTACCCGATTTATAAATCTCGTGGTAAACTCCGCCTATTTCGGTGCATGTCCCACCCACCTTTTCTTTCCTCGTCAATCTCTTCCACGTCTTTTTCCTGGTCATTGAAATGTCTCTAAGCCAGTATATGCTTGGCAAAACTACGCCCACTTTAACGCACGTACGCCCACCAGAAGGAATTCACTTCCTTCTCTTCGCCTGCCTCTATCCATTTTTCCCGATCCCTGACACTTCTTCTAACCGAGACATGCCAGAAAAAAACTGCCCACTTTGGTGCACATCCCGCCCACCAATAGCAATTGACTTCACATTCTTTGCTGATCTCTATCCACTTTTTTCGGTCTCCGGGACCTCTTCGACGCAAACTCCGCCGACACTGGCGCACGCCCCACCAATAACAATTGGCCTCCCATTGTCAGACTCGGTTCACTTTTTTCTCGATTTCCTAGACCTCTTGGGATCGAGCCATGATGTTTCGTGGATGACTCCGCCTCCTTCGGAGCATGCCCCGCCCACCGGTAGCAGAAGCTTCCACTCCTCAAAACACCTCCGATTTAGACGTCCACGGGTATTCGAACCTTTCCCACCCAGTCACCGCCCGGACCTTTTCTGCCTTCCTTTGTTGAGCGTATTGCCCGCCTATATACCGTCGCGAAAATGAACGCGCACACTCTGCGCTGAAAGTACCGTCCTTGTAAGTGACTAGCATATACGACGTGAGCAAGAGGCCCGTCCACTATGGACGGAGCGTACCCTGAATTACAAGGCGTTTCCTATAAGTCCCCATAATTCGCTTTCAGGAAGTCGTGGAGAGAAAAAAGGTGGATTAAGGTCAAGAAGAAGGGGAGGCTGGATGTTAATAGTGGGCGCGACGTGTGCAAAAGTGGGAGAGTTTTTAACAAATTTATGTCTCGTCCAAATAGTCGAGGAGACCGGGAAAAAGTAAATATCGATTAGCGAATGATATAA